AATATATACTAATATTTATTAATATATGAATTATCTCTGTTATCCATCTCATATTTCTATATTGAATTCAATCAAATACTTAAAATTAGAAAGAACAAATAAAATCTAAATTCGAAAATCTATTTTAAAATGCTTCTCAAGAAACATGTTTCTTTTGTAGGTGAGAACTTTCATACTTTTCTGTATGAAGTATATTGTAAAAATTTATTTTTCGTTTATCGAGAAGTTTCATTTCTGATAAATAACCATAATTTTATTCAGATAATTTTTGAATAAATTATTTAAATTCAAAACCAAATTAGATTATTAGAAATAAAACAGTTTAAATTACTTATAAACATCAGAATTTTTTATTATTATTTTAATTTAAATTTTCAAATTAAATCTTCAAATCAATCAACTTAAAAACTTATGTAAAATTTATCTTGATAATATTTACACTTATATTCAATTACAAGTATTTTTATTCTTGTATTTTATTTTTCTTCTTACAAGTTTTTTATTATTTCATAATACAGTGGGTGGTCGGTTAACGAACAGATTGGTTAACAAACAAATCGGATAACGAACACTTTCGCAAAAGATTTTTATGATCGGACAACAAACACTTCACTGAACAAATACAAGAAGTGACGTAAAATAATGAATACCGATTGGTCTTCCTTTGTCTTCAGGCAACAATTCGAAACTTTTCGGAGCGCAGGAGACATCGACATCAACATTCTACCCAGTATATACTGATCGGATAGTATTCCCCCGAACTTTGAAACTCTCCCTTGTAATTCCAGCTTTTTATATTTCTGACAGAAACAATTCTTTTACATTTTCTTCTGAAAATGCAGATTTATGCCGATATCTGCTATTAAAGATCTTTTAAAGAAGTGGAAGGATGTCAGAACAACGGTCTTAAAATGGCATACAAACCAGGTTGAGGTTAATAGGCCTAGGGATCTCTACAATTACAATGCTATTAATTACTTCTGAAAAATCATAAAGAAGACATAAAAGCAATCGAAATTGGACAGATTCGTTAACCCTCACAAATGGAAAAAACATGACTAATAAAAATGCAAGACCGTGTATATATGTATTTTTATTATTACATATAAATAAACGTAGTAAGAAAGTATAGTCTATATTTTTTATTTTTTGGGGGTCTCCAGAACGAATTAATCAAATTCCCATAGAAACCTATGGTAAATCAATAATCGGTTAACGAACAAATTGGATAGTGAACAAAGTCTTGGAATGGATTATGTTCGTTAACCGATCACCCACTGTATATGATAATGTCAGATTAACTATTGGGCTAGAAGTTGGCCAATTAATTTCAGTGTATTCATGTAAATATAATGGCCAATTATGTAAAATATTGTTGAGAACAAATTCAGATATCAATATTAATCATAGATTCTAAAATCTGAGTTTTATACTAAAAATTCATAAGATAAATATATTTATTATATTTCAGATATTTTAAAGATTATACCTATATGGACTTTACTAAAGACCAATGTTACTGGTGTAACTCTGAAGAATATTCATTAATCCATTTAAAGGATTGCAATAGATTTGCAAAATACCATAAAAAATATTTTATATCATAGAAATAATACACATAAATCAAAATCAAGATTATAATAAAATTAAATTAAATAATCTAATGATAAATCAAATGTATAGAATGAATAACTTCATAATTATTTGATTAAAGAAGTTACATGATTAACAATATTTTATATCAATTATCTAGCTAAACAAAACAACATATTTAAATTTAAACAAAAATTTATATGAATTATTGTATACTTAATGTAATTTTATTTTATTCAAGAAAAATAATGTGAATTGGAATAATTGTTGACCAACTGTTGTAAATTTATAAATTACTCATGTAATAACCCCCTGTAACAAGGCTTGTTTTATCTTTAAAATTTTAGTACAAATAAAATATTTATAATTATATATTTTTTATATTAATACAAAGGATAATTTCTATCTATTTTTTTGCAATTGTTCATAAGTTGACATTTATATATCCTTTTTTAATATGTAATATTATGTTTGCCACAACTGTGCTTCTTAGACTAATATTTAATTAAAAATTTCATGAATATCCTGTTTGGTTATATTGTATTTTTTTTTATAAAGCAGGAAATTAGAACATAGATAGCTATATGACCTTTTAATATGATTTGTTAGAATACATATAAGTAATAAAGTACCATATTATATCAGCTTGGTATTTTGTATATATAAAAATGATACAATAATTAAAGTTTTTATCAATATGCTAAGAAAAAGTTTTTGAAAACTATTATTTTAATGTTACGTAAGGAAACATAAAATACCTAAATACTTGGTCTATCAGAAAATATCCTTTAATGTCAATGTATGATTTTAACTGATTAGTAAATAATTAAATCAAAATCAAAAAATCATTATGAAAAGAAAACTTTATCTTAAAGACTAGAAAAAATTTTAAAATTTGAGAAAACAGTAAACATTATTTGTTTTTGATGATAATTATTTTTTATAAGATGTTGAAATATACACAATACTATGTATGGATAAAAATCTATCATCATAAGAAAAGATGAATAAATTCAAACAAGAATGGTAAAGCAGCAAGTAGGAAGATTTTAAATAATAATATGTTCTAAAATTTATTTAAAATCAAAGATTCTCATTGTTGTGATTACATAACGATTCCAACAATACTTGATTACACAGAAGTGTATCAATTAGATAATATATAATTCTGATCATGTAGGAAATTAAAGTTTTATATTCACTATTTTTCCTTCAGAAGAATTTGATTTTTGTTTTAATTTAGTATTGCATTTTAATATTGTATATTTCAAATTCAAATTAATATTGCTGTTGTTTGAATTTAAAACAGCTTCATTAGATTAATACAATATAATAAATTAAAAACCAATTACCAAACAATTAATACTGTATACACATAATGTAAATAATATGTCAAGTGATCATAATTAAAGTACCCCTATTCAATGCTTCAGTCATCTCAGAATATTGTAGTAGAATTCGTGTTGACTGTCCTGCCCCCAGAGATAAATTCACACTGTACAATCCCACAAATGTAAAAAAAAAAAAAAAACGATCATCATGCTCTTGGTCATGGCTCCTGACCTGCTTTGTCTTCTTTGATCATGAAGATGTTGGGCTCTTTCACTGTGAAGACTGTTGTTTAGTCTCTGGGTCATAATCTTAGGCCCATGTCTCATCCCCAGTGGTGATCGTCGACAAGAAGTTTGAGTCATCCATGACCAGCTGACAAAGATCCTCACACACTTTGACACCATGTGCCTTCTGTTCTGGTGTCAGAAGCCTGGGCACAAACTTTGCAGAGATGCAGTGCATATTTAAATCCATCATCAGGATTGCCTGGACTGTCCTGTACAACACATTGACAATGGCAGCAATGTCCACAATGGTTCTTCAACAATCCTCATGCACAAGTTACCTAATTTTTTTGAATTTTTGGGGGTTGTGCTCATGGATGATTGACCTGACCTGTCATTATCTTTTTGTGATATTCTGCCATCCTTGAAATGTGCATGCCACTCAACACATCTTGTTCTACCCATTGCACCATCCCCATAAACTTTCTGAATCATTTCAAAGGTCTTCCAGTTTTGCCAAGTTTAACACAAAATTTGATGTTAGCTCTCTGCTCAATTTTGGCATCCATGCTGAAATCGCAAATGGACCTTCACATGGGGTCAGTGACCCCATGTGCAGGTCCATCTGCAATTCCCAATGGTCAGTATTCCCCACAGCTGCCAACACATCCCCATTCTGCACTCTGTTATCATGCTACAGGACCAGTCCCAGAACTTTTTAATACCACCTCATATAATTTTTATGTTATTGAGGTCATGTTGAAAATTTAGTAGCCTTAAAAAACAGCATTACATTGTATGCAAGAAGAATCACAGAGGATCAATTATGGTTGGCCATTGATCATATAATTCATCATTTTTAGGTTTTTGCACCTTCAAAATGGAGACCATATTGAGCAGTATTGCCTGCATCACTAAGGTCTGTGTTTAGCTTTTCTTATGCAAATAAAATGTTTGTTGCTTATATTACCAAAACTGCCATAGTGATGAATTTTAGTACTAACTTTTTTTACAGAAATGTCTACTTCAGTCCTAAAATATCATCAGCTTCATCATACTAAATTTGCTTGCATAGACAGTACTGTATAGACTTTAATTATGTTAATACACANTTAAAAAGTGGTTTATTAAAAACCACTTTTTAAATATTATGGTTATAAATATGATATATCAGAACTCTATTTTTAAATATCAAAATTTGGTCTCATTATTCAGATATTTTGCATATTCAAACATGATAAAAACTGGATTTAATTTTAATCAGAATTCTCTGTTCAGAGATTCAAATAGATGAATTAACAAAAAATAAAATATGAAAATGCTTAATACTTATTTAAACATATATATCTATAGTATATAATAATAACTTAACAACATATTGTTGACACATGAAGACCCCATAAATACCAAAAATTCAAATTTTACAGGAGCAACAAAAGGAATTAAGAAAATCTTATAATGAACCTTCACATAATAGTCATAAAATAGCTTAAGTTGTAATCATGTAATTACTTAGATATACTACTGACTAAACAACAGAAAAAATATTTAATCATTTACAAGGTTTCCTCATCAATGCAGATTGCTCAATTATATGAGCTTTTTATAAGAAATGATATAGCCAATTCTATTGGTTGAATGTTTCTGAGATTTTTGTAGAACATGCATACTCCAAGGTTTATGTCAATAAGTTTAGGGCTGCACAAGTCATAGTTTGCAGGGCCTAAAGTTTTGACATAAAACTTATTTGACCCATAGTGGCATTTGAGGTTTTCATATGTCAAAAACAGTATTCTAATTAAAAAGCATTACACATTACAAAATTTCTGAAACTAATGTATTTCTTGATACCTGTTGAGTCTAATAGGTACATTTGTTGATCTAACTCTTAGGGCTACCTCCCAATATTTAATAGCCTCAGGCAGGACGGTGGTCTAAAAGAAAAAGCTCATTAAACATTTGTTGTAATAATAAATAAAGTCAAAATGATACTATTTTATTTTAAAGGAAAATTGTATAATACATCTTATTAAATAAATTTTCATTTAACAAACTTTTAATACAGTATAACCTCCAAATAGCAGACACCATTGGGACTGAGAAGTTTGTCCACTATTTAGAGGTGTTTGCTATTGGGAGGTACTGTACATGCTGATATATCTATCTTAGTTATATACAGAATTATTTCCAATAAAAGAGAAGAAAGAAAAAATTCTGTAAAAATTAACAACAGAAAGTTATATTGTTTAATCCACAGAATGAGAAAATATCTGAAATATTTCTTTGTTTTGCTTGTACCATATTCAAATGCATACATAATAAACATGATAGCAAAACCAACTTTTATCTCTACACATAACATAACAAGCATATTTATCACCATGGATTTATGTGTGGAAAAAATTGTTTCCCAACATTGTTTCTCTGATAGTCCATTTTTGGCCTGCAATTTGAAAAAATTATAGATCTATAAATTTACACTGTCCTACATCCATCTGTCTTTCCTTAATCTCGAGAACAGAATTAGATGAAAGAAGAGACCAAATATGGAAACCTTAGGGACAGGATGCCCTGATTAACTATATATGAAATTCTGAAGAAAACTGGAAGTCATTTTATTTGAATTCAAAAGGATGCCCTGAAAGGAGTTAACAGATGAATAACATAATTCTATTGATAACAGAGAAAGTATGATGTACATGGGGCAAGACACTACTAATTTGAGGTGGAGAACATATATCTTTTAAATTAACATGCATTATACATTACAAAATTTCTGAAACTATCTAATGTATTTGTTGATACCTGTTGAGTCTAATAGGTACAGTATATTTGTTGATCTAACTCTTAACTGATGGTTAGCTGATCTAACTATCAGCTAACCATTTGTCAAACTTGAAGAACTCAGAAGGAGTTAGAAAACATTTGTGCAGATATTGTTTTTTGTTTTCTTCACACCAGTAATTGGTTCTATATTCATTATTGCATAAATTATAAAAAATCCTTATCCTAGAAATCTCAGTATTAAGTTGCTGATAAAATGATTTGTCAACAGTAGCATAACGTAGTGGGGGCGGCAGGGGCGGGCCGCCCCGAGCGACATTTTTAGGGGGCGGCAAAATTTCACAATAAAGAATATTAATATCTTGTAAAAATTTGAACCATTTCATTTCATATTTTTGTTGCACCTACAATTCGGACCAATTGAAATGAGCATGGAATTTTTCATTACTTATTCTGTGACGAAACTGAATTTTAGTCTTTTAAATTGAGATACCTAAATAAGGGGGGCGGCGAAATTTTCCTCTGCCCGGGCAGTGACACCCACGCTACGCCACTGTTTGTCAAACTACAAATGTATTTCTATTAGTGCAAAGACAATTCCAACAACTTAGACAAGGCATGTTGATTCTTTATAAATTGTGTACACATATCAGAATGATATAGAATAAGTTGCAGTGATTAAATGTTTACATATGATTGTAGCTATAAAAATAGCAATAAATTTATGCTCAATATCTCACTTTATACAATTTTCAGTTTACTAATATTTATATATACATGAAATAAAATTCAATCAATTATTCTAATTTGGAATATGAAGACTCAAATAATCAGTTGCCAGAATTTCAAACACAGATTAGGTATTTTTATATATATATATATAAGGATGTTTGTTTTGTTGAGTTAATTTCTCATGCTATTCACAATTATTGCAATCCTTTGACAACAAAACAGCTTTATTTCTAACTAGAAGGGTTTAATTAACAAGCTCTACATTAAAGGTAAGCACACCTCGTGCTTCGATCAACGCCACCTAACAGAGATGATTTTTTAATTAATTAAGATGTATCCGCAGCCTTCCCATAGCCAAATTATAGCCACGACAGAAACTGTTACTATGCTTATACAAATAAATTCCAACAACCAATTTAATGAATTGAATGCATTATTATTTTCAGGAAGTATGACTTGCATAAACAGTTTCTTAGTATGTCTTCACACATGTAGCGAAAATACAATTGCTTACCACAGTTATGTTGCAAAAAGTAGAAATCAAATGAGAGAAATTCGAGTCGAGTTACTTGTTGCAATAGAATATATTTTATATAAGTGAAAGCTAAAACAACAAATCGAAAATAGCCTATTTAAAATTTGTATTTTTTCCCGGTTTTAATATTTAAAACCGGGATTAATAATTAAAACCTTCATCAATTAAAAACAACATCTCGAAGTAAATACTTACGCGTTTATCAATTTCTCATAGTAAGAACTTTTTTCTCTGAAAGTAGAATTCTCTTTAACTCCAAGAATTGTATCTGAAATAAATTTTATATATTAATAATATAAACAATATAACGAACATTAAACTATTATGTAACAAATTTTAAAATTTATAATTTAATTTTTATTTATTTTTCTAATAATTATAAAATTTGACACCTTATAGGAGATTC